CCTGCCTGCACCCCACGGATGGTGCCGGGGTGCTGGGGCTGGCAGGGAAAGAGGGACGGGAACCCAAAGCCAGTGCCTAATCCCCAACAAAGCCTCCCCTTTCCTCACGCTTGGCCAGGCAGGGAATGTGCTGAGGCAGCGCCTGGGGGGGACCGTCCTTGCCTCTGACCTTCGCAGCGTGCCGGGGAGCAGCGAGGTGATGGGGGGGGAACCCCAACACCCCCAAACACCCCCCAAACCCCCCCCCCGATCCCCGCGCTCGGGCTGCACGGCTCAGCCCATGGGATCCCCCAAACCCGGCCTGGTGCAAGCGGAAGGGGGGGTTTCAGTGCGGGACCCCCGTGTCTGAGCTCGCTGACGGGGCGGGAGGGAGCGGAGCTGCGTGGCAGAGGCGCGGGGAACGCCCGGTTTCACCGATACCGGTGCCCGCGGGGCCCCCGCACCGGGCAAAGGTCGCTTCGTTGGGGCGAGGCGCAGCCGGGGGCGGCCGCGGAAACCGGGCCCCGAGGGCACGCTCGGCACCGCCGCGGCACCGGCACCGGGCACCGGTGAGACCCCGGCACCGCACGGAGCCCCCCGCGGGCAGCAGCCGGTAGCACCGGGGCCGGTACCTGGGTTGGGGCTGATGAACAGCGAGCCCTTAGGAAGGGGCCCTGTCCCCTTGGTCCCTATGGGTGCGCACAGAGCGGGTCGCGGTCACCGTGGGCACGGCCGTACCGGGGCAGCCGAACCCCCCCCTCCCCATGTACGATCGCTTCCTCCAATGGAGCCGGGACGGGAAGGGTTAAACACAGATCCTGCGAGCGCTCGAAACTCGCCTCTGCGGGCTTCACCCGGCCTCTTCCTCCTCCTCCTCCTCCTCCTCACCGAGAGGGGCCACGGGCCGCTGCTCCCCATGGGGCGGCTGTCACGGGCTGGGCGAGCCCCGCACCCCCTCACCTCCATAACCCGCAGCACCCCACAACACGGGGTAACCCCTTATCCACCCCGGGACATCCCCAGCGCCGCCCGGAACTCCCCGTCCGGGGCACCCCACGGCTCCTCGCACCCCTCCCCGAGGCCCCGCACCCGGTAGTGATGGGGAGGAAAGAAGCACCCGGTGCCCCCCCCCTCCGTGTTGCAGCGCCTTGGAGCGGGGTGTGCCCGGGGCACCCCATAGGGGAAAGGGGCTCACCTGAGGAACTCCTGCAGGCAGGTATCGCAGAAGCGGTGTCCGCACGTTGAGACGCGGACGGGCTCCCGCATGGGCTTCCCGCAGAGCGGGCACAGCACCCGCCGCCGCGGCCGCTCCAGCAGCTTGTAGTCGTAACCCGGCATCGCCCCGCTCCGCTCCCCTCCGCTCCTCCGTTCCGTGCCCCGCTCCGCTCCGCTCCGCGCTCAGTGCCCGGCTCCGCCCGGGGGCCGGACGGGGCGGTGGAACCGGCCCAACACCGCCTCCCGCACGGGCTCCGCCTCCCCGCACCTTCCCCCCCTCCACACACCCGGCATCCCGGGGCGCGGGGAGCATCAGCACCGACCATGGGGAGGGGTTTGGGAGGCACCGAGTTGGGTGCAGACACCCTGGGGAGCATCACACAGGATACAGCCCCTCGGGGGGGGGGGAGGGTTGGAACTCCCTGCTTTGGGCACTGGGACCCCCTGCGTTGAGTGCAGCCACCCCAGGGGTCTGGGGAGCATCATGTCATGTCATATCATATCGCATCCATCACACTGTACAGTACCAGACCAACATGAGACCCCCCCTTTCCCAGCTGCAGCCTCCCCTGGTCCAGGAAGCTGGGCTCTGGCTGTGGGTTGGGGGCACACATTGTGCTGTCCTCACTACCCCAGTGTCCCCTCCTTTGGGGTACCACGCTCCTGCTGGGCAGCATCAGGACATAGAGGGGCTGCCCTCATCCCCCCATGTGCCACAGGCACAATGGGGACACGTCATCCTCCTTTGGCCTCATGTTACACAGGTAAGTAGGATCCAAGAGCATCCCTCCAGCCTGCGGTTCCTAACCTCACAAGAGCTCGGAGAAGGGAGAATAAAAGCAAATCTGGCTCCAGCCCCCACTTTGCTCTTGCAGAAAGCGGAGCAGCATATGGGAGTATTTGCCCCTTTCCCTAGAGATGGAGACGAGCAGATGACAGGCTGTGAGCATGTGTTAGTCCCACCAACGCACGCTCCAGCCAGCTTCCCATTAAGGGCGGCAGTTGCTCCAGCCCCAAATGTTAGCAGTTTTCAATTAGCAAATGGCAGAGGAGAGGGATTCCTGGGGGACCCGCTAAGCAAGTGGAGCTCTATCACTTGTCACTCAAGGAGCTCACGTTACCCTTCTCCCTGCTTAAAATAAGCCCCTACAACAGCCCGATGGCTGCCCTCCTGCTGCCCCAGCTGCCAAGAAGGGGATGGGGGTTACCCTGACCTGAGCTGCAACGGGGCTTTCACTCCTGACACCCAAATAGCAGGGAAGCTTGTGCCAACATACATAAAGGGTGAACAGCCACGGCAGGGTCCTGCCTGGGGGGATGGATGGAGCTGGAAACCCAATGTGTAGGAACAAGCACAGGGAGCACAGGGGAGCTGTTTTAGGGGTTGCAGCTTGGGGTTGGGTTCACCCAGAGCCGTGCCCCCCCCAGGGCAGGATGCACAAACAGCCCTGCGGTCCGTCTGGTTCTACCACTAAGTCACAGCACGCCCTGGGGCTGGGCTCGCCTTGAACAGCCCTCAACCAGGCCCTGGCTAAAAACCAGCCCTGGACACTGCTATGGGATGGGGCTCAGAGCAAAAGGATGGGCCCTTGGTACCCCACGGGGTGAGGGGACCCCCCCTGTGCTACCCCATAGGACACTCGGAATCATCATAGAACGGTTTGGGTTGGAAAAGCTCATCCAGTTCCAAGCCTCCACCACGGGCATGGACACCTTCCACTAGAGCAGGTTGCTCCAAGCCCCATCCTGCATCACTCCTGCTTAGATGGGCTTAGAAAGCCTTCATCTCCCGTGACAGGCAGGGACCAGCTCTGAGTTTTATCACTCTTTACCATTTCTCTTTGATGTTTTAAACCCTTCTCGTTCCTAAGGAGCATCTCTGCTAATGAGCCAGGAGCTGACAAAGCCATCAGGAGGTGCTGGCTGTGCCGGCAGGACGGCTGGGAGGTGTCAGACCCTGCAAACAAAGATCCTTCCCTTTCCCCCCTCTCCCTAAGGGAAGCCCTCCCCGCTCTCAGCATCACAGCCGGGGCGTTTGTCTCGCACAAAGGCGACCCTCGGAGCAGGGTAATTCCCTTTGTGCAGGCGGTATGTTCGCTGTCCGCCCTGCGATGGGTCAGTCCTTGAACCCGGTTGGGCTTTGGGAAGCCTTCCCCCTGCTCCATCCTCCCCCCCTCCCGTCCGCCTTGTGTTTAACTTAAACTGGACGGACAGCAAACAAACCTCGGCTTCTAAAGCAGCTCAGGTGGAGCGGTTTGCCCTGGGGGAAAGGAGCAGGGAGAGTCCTCTTCCTGCTTCGTGCGGGGTAAGGAGAGCGAGGCGGCTGGACACAGACACAGGCTCATGGAATGGGGATGTGACCACAACAGAGGGGCCGGAATGAAATCAAATCGAATGGAATCAGCTCTGGGATCAGCAGGGGGGTTGGGGCTGTTGGGGTGGCCCCAGGGCACTGGGATCTTATGGAGCACAGGAACAGGGGTGAGCTTTTCCTGGATGGCAGTGACAGAGGGTACCTACACCAGCCGGGATGCACAAAGCATCCCTGCATCACCTCCCCTCCCCGCTCCCTTCACCTCTTCCCTTCCTTAGCTGGAAGAGCCACAGGGACACAGCCGATCCAGCACCAGCTCCCCAGAACACGGGAACAACACAAGGATAAAAGGGAGAAGCCCCAAGACCTGCAGCTTCTGCAAGGAGACAAAGCAGCAGACGTGAGGAATGCAGTGGCCTATTTGCCCAGGCTGCTGTGTGCCTGCGGCAGCGCGGACATGCCTCGGCTTGTCGCTCCAAGAGCTATTGTTGCTCGGGGCCGGGGGCCTCTTTGTTTCCTTTACCCTTTCGCCAGGCTTGGTCACAGCCTGGTATTAAATTATTCAGATCATCTCGCTGGGCTTACCCAGCTGAGCTGCTGCACGGAGCTCCCCAGGGCTAACACTGGTCCTCACGGGCTCCTCCGACCATAATCAAGCTGGTGACAGCTCCGCACTGCGGTGCAAAAGCATCATTAAGCCATAAACCCCACTTAACACCAGCACATCGGTGGGAAAAGGGGGCTGACAGAAGCTCACCCCTCCATTTGGCAGCACGGGGGGATCCCAGTGGCTCCCTGCGCTGCACATCCCATGGAGCAGTGGCACCACCTTCACCACAAAGGGTGGCAGAGAGCTCTGTCCTGCCATCCCACCCAGCTCTCAGCCCTGGCGAGGCTGTAGCAGAACATCAGCCCCTTCTTATGGGATATGTTTGCATGTGGTGTAAGGAGCAAGGAGCTGAGCACAACGCAGGCAAGAGATGTCTGTTGCTGTAGGAGCCGGTGCTGCCATCAGCTCAGCACAGGGAGCAGCCCAGAGGGGTTTTGAGGGGATTTAACCCAGCCCCACCATCACTTGGTGCCCAGGAGTGGAGAACACCCTCACCTCTGCTGACACCAGGCTGCTGGAGCCATCCCCATCACCTGCAGCACAAAGCGAGTGCCAAGGGACTGGCAGAGCCTTTGAATTCCAGTGAGCTCCCTGGGCTCCCAGGGTGTAACCGCCTGGAAAGCAGGGAAAAACCCCTGCTCCCACCCTGGCAGGAGCCAAAGAGGGAGGCAGTGTCTGCAGGCAGGGCACACGCCTCTCCCGGCCGGACAGGACCTGCTCCCTTCCCAACCCGGAGCCTGGGAGGTGAAGGGAAGAAAGAGCAGGAGAGCTGCTGGGATTCATTACCTTCCACATGAGAGCGGGATCAGTTGGCTTCTAGCAGAGCCTGGTGAGGTTCCCCTCATTGAACACAGGAAAGAATCACAGAAATAATTAGAGAGATTTCATCTCAGCCAGCTCATGAAAGCCCTGACTTTATCCACAACAGACTGGCAACGGCACAAAGATGGATGTGAAAGGCAGGAGCGGTTGCAGTGTCAGACAGATCAGAGACAGGAGCTCATCAAAAACTGGCCCAGGGCAGATGGAACTTAAAAAAGGAAAAGGAAGGGGGGGGGGAAGGAAAGGAAAAGACCCTTCTGGAGATAAAACCTGCAGCTCCCGTCTGTGACATGGTGATATGCCCCCTCCTGCCTGCACACAGGATCCCTGCTGAAAGCTCATCACCCCCCTGGAGAGATCTGGGTTAAAAACCTTCAAGTGCTGACAATCCCTGGTTGGGTTTCCCTGCCTTCCGCTAGCTCAGCTGGGAGCCTGTGAGCTGGTCAGCAGCAGGATTTAGGGGCCTGAGGACAAATGTCAGCTGGAGGATCCTCTGGTGAGCTCCTGGTGCTTGGGGGAGGCTCTAATTGGAAAGCTCCAGGCTGTGTTCTGGGAGAGCCAAACCAGGTTGTGCTGCACAAAGGGGCTGTTCACGCCGGGTCCGTCCTGCTGGGCAGAGCAGGACCCTCAGAAGCATGATAAACAGCCCAACAAACGGGTGAAATGCTCTTTGGGGGATGGGACAGGCCAGGCTTCTCTAATTAGCAAAGAGGTTTGCACTTAGTCACCCCGAGTAGTGCCTGGGGCCCTAACTCCAGACACTGCTGTGCACAGGCTGACAGCTCTCTCAGACACCGAGCTGTCAGCCTGGGCTCTGTAACCAGAGACAGCTTCCACTGGGAAAACAACCTTTGTGCTCCTCACCCTTCCACACAGGCACCTCCAGAGGGGAGGCTTCCCCATTGAGAGCAGCAGCAGAGCTCTGGGGATGTCCACCCCATGGCACATCCAGGGCAGCAGCTCTCAGGCACTGAAGGTTCACAGTGACCCTCGTTGATTCCATAGGAGAGACCAGCTCCGGTTCCATGGGAACCATCGTTAGGAGCTCCCTGTTTCCTGTTGGGAGCTCCTGAGCCTGGGGATGCAGGGCTGAGCCATCAGGAAGCACTGAGGACAAGGCATTCCAGGCAGCTGGATGTGTCCCCTCTCGACTCAGACTCACTGGGAAGGCGACTCTTCCACAGCAGCTGAAACACAAAGGGCAAGGACCAAGAATAAGCCACAAGCCACTATCCTGGTGAAGCCGCAGGGAGCAGTGCCTGCCCTCGCAGCCCAGATACCCAAGAGATGGGCAGCTGCAGTCCTTGCCTTGCTATCCCAGGAAGCAAGTCCTCAGTAGTAGCACAAACAGGAGGCAGTGCCCGGTACACAGAGCCCAAGCAGGAGTCTCTTGCAGCTTGTGCCTTCCTCCTCCTCCCTTCCAGCACTCCTGCCTTTCCCCACTTATCCCTGTGTTTACAGTGGGATCGAGGGCACCCCCTCAGCAATGAAGGGGGCAGAAACCCAAACCCTGCTCGCCTGTGCCAGCAGCCTCTGTGGCCCAGATGAGAGCTGGAGCTGACAGCAGCAGTGACACCACACATGTCACCAGCAATCGTGTGCTCTCTGGAGAAGCTTCCAGGCACACTGAGCTGTGTGAAAGCCCAAATCTCAGCTTTGTACAGAGCTCCCGATGCTTTTTGCACCCTGGTTAGTGAGGGGTAGGGATAGCAAGGCCAGGCTGCTGCCCTGACACTGCTGCTGCTGAGTTTGCACTGCCAGCACCGGGGCAAGCAGGGTGAGGTTTCAGCCTCGGCAGTGCAGAGGGACAGAAACAGGGCTACACACTCAGTCCCTACAGTTATAGTGCTGCAGGTGGAAGGCCACAAACCAGCTCCGGCCTGCTGCAGACACAGACCCCTCCTGCTCCCATGGCAAGGGTCCTCCTAGCTTCTGAGCCCAGGGACCCTGTCCCCTTCATGTGGCAGCACACATCACATGAGAGCTGGGCTCTTGCAGGGGAAGAACAGGAGCCAGGGCCCATTGCACTGCACTGGGGCACTCACAGCCCTGCCTCCTCCCCTCCAGGGTGCAATTAGCCTGCTTGAAGTGGGCTGGGACTGGGATCCCTCAGCCCAGCACTGAGGCCATAATCAGCCCAGGAAAAGGAGGAAGAAAGGCCCCTCCAGGAGTGTGGGCCAGGCTCCCATCATACACCCAGGGAACGGAAGGGCAGGTCGTGCCATGGGCACGTTGGAACCATGCAGCGACGCTGCCTTTGGGCCGAGCAGAGAGGAACCACAAAACCAGTGCTATCTTTTCCAAACCACAATGGAAAGGGAGCAGCCAAAACGATGCCTCAAATCTCAGCTTCTATTTCAGCAGCAGCAATTAGAGCTGCTCCTTTTGGATCCGCAGCTCCCCACCTCTGTGGGAGGGAAGGAGAACCTCTCCTGCTGTCCCTCTGCTCTCCCGGCCCAGCGGAAGCATCCCTGTGCTGAAGGGGAGTTTTTATGTGCCTCAAGTTATTTCTGTTCACCTACAGCTGGAGAGGGACTGGAATAACACAGAGCTCACATGCCAGGGTTACTTGGGACAGCTCCAGTCACAAGGCATTGTGTCTGGCTGGGTTTTCATGGCAGGAATCACAGTAACAAAGCCTCTACTCACGCTTTACTGCCAGCAGCGTGTTCCCGTGGCAGCAGGCGACGGAGGTCACCAGGTAGGGATGTGTCTCCTCCAGCTGCACCGGCTTTGGGGTTCCTGTTTCCTCATCCTTCCTGCCCAGGCGTCCCCTGGCTCCTTTCCCCCATGTGCACACCTCACCATCTGCAAAGGGATGGATCCCTTCACTGCACACAGAGCATCCTTCCTCCCTGGTAGCTACCCAGGCTATCTCCTTGACCACAGCATGGACTGCAGGCAGAGGAAGGCTAGAGTCTGCTGCAGCCCAGAACATTGGGGTTTCATTCTCACCTGCACCAATGGCCACAGTGAAGGCATCCCCACAAGCCACCACAGTGACCTTCATCGCCTGGAGCCCCACAACCAGGTGGGGTACACGGCTGTTGCGGCAGGAGCTGGTGCCCAGCTGCCCGTGCTGGTTGCTGCCAAAGGTGTAACACTGGCCAGAAGCTGGTAATAGAGACAAGAGAAACAACTGGGTGTCACCTGAGGATGCACTGAAGCTCTTTGCTCTGTATCATGCTGAGCATCCACAGAGCTCCAGCATCAGCAGGGTGTCTCCCTCCTCTCTGAGGTCTCTGCCCATGGGAAATGGAAGCAGGAGGATGGAGAAACACAGGTGCCCCCCAGTCAGGTGTTTGGGCAGCCACCCCTCACCTGTGACTGCAGCTGAGTGTGCTGTACCTATGTCAGCACACACGATTGGCTCTTGGTTCAAGGGGAACGACTGGGCACACATGAACACGGTGGCCTCTTCCACTTGGTCCTCTGGGGAGGGCTCCTCTGCTGAGCTAATCCGATCCAGGCCCAGCTTGTTACACCTGCATGGGGAAAAGCACAGTTCAGAGCTGGCAGAGTGGAGACAAACCCTGCCCTGGTGTAAGCACACCACCAGCAGCGTGATGCTGGGGAGCAGGATCACACAGTGAGCTCCCTCTTCCTGGGCTGAGCACAGATGAAAAGGCCCAGGAGGCTGTAACAAGCTCTGGAGCACAGAACCCTCACCCCTCTCACCTATTGCTCCCACAGGCAAGAATCTGGTTCTTCACAGTGAGGACCATGGAGGAATCAATGCCACAGATGACTCTGTGGACCTCATGCTCCGGTGGGACTGTGACCTGCTGGGGGGAGCTGTGGCACTCCAGGGTACCCAGCCCGAGCCGGCCTGGCAGAGGGAACAGAGCAGGACACGGCTGATGGCAAGGCACAAACCTGAGCATCAGTGTAGCTGCTGCAAGAGCCATAGGAGCGAAATCCAAGCCCCAGGGGCACTGGCATGCGGTGAAGCAGCTGCAGCTCCTCCACACCCACCTACCCTGGCACATCTGGGGAGGACTGTGGGCAAGCAGGGCTGGTGAGAGGAGTGGGAACAGGCAATGGGAAGCACAAGCCCTCTTTTACCAAGCAGTTGTCTCTTACCATTATCCCCCCTGCCCCAGGCAAACACTTCCCGTTCGTTGGAAACTGCCAGGACGTGGGATGCGCCACAGGCCACCTGCACCATCTCATAGCCCAGAAGGGCCTCCACGATCTTGGGCTGGCAGGGGAAGAGCAGCAGCCGTCAGCCGAGACCTCCCAGCCAGCCCCATCCCTCCCACCCGGCCCCCCAGCCTCAACACAGCGCTGGCAGCATCCCAGTTTTCATCCAACACAAACACCAGGGAAGGGTTTCTAGTTCCAAACAGCCTTCAAAGGGTTCAGAGACTACGTGCACGCAGCACAGGAGATAATGCAAACATCTCTGGGGCAGAAGGAAGCAGCCAGCACCAACGGCTTGGAGAGGGAAGGGTTGGGATTCGCCCCCCTGCCCATGTGGGGAGTGCCAGGGGCTGTAACGCACTCCCTGAGCAGGCAGGGGCTTGGTGCAGGATGCGTTGGCTGAAAGGCTCTTGTGTACAAGAGCTGTGAGCTATCAGTTAGGGCGTGAAGAGACCAGGATCTCCACATCTCCCAGCCCCTGCTGTGACCTGCTGTTAGATGTGACACCTCGCCACAGCCAACCTCATCCTCATTATCTTCTCTCAGTGAAAAGCACCATTTGTTGGGATCTGGCTGCTGCTCCCAACTGCTCCCCCCAGCATCCCCAGCAATAAGCTCAGCTGCAGACGGAGCCAGCTGACCACAGGGACAAACGGCAGCAGTGCCTGTGCTGGGCTGGGAGCCATCGTGCTGCTGCCACATCCGAGGAGGGAGCTGGAAGGGAGCGCTGTGCTCGGGGCCCTTGTGTCCGGAGCCCATCGGAAGCACAGGGCTCTTCTTCAAACAGGGCTGCTTGTGAGGAACAACTTTTCCCAGTGAACCCCGGCAGCTGCAGGCCAAGAGGGGAGCAGGCAGGTGTGGGATTGGAGGCAGGCTCCAAGCTGGGAGCCTGCCAACAGCAACCACAAGGCAGCTCTTGACTTCCCCCACGCTCAAAGGGATCATTGTGTAGGGGGGGTGGAAAAGAGAGACGCAGGTTGGGTCTTTTAAACCCCGCAGTGACAGGGAGAGAAAGGGGAGGGAGCTGGATGCCAAAGCACGGTTGGGATGCACATCCCTGGAGCTGGGGTGAGCCCTCTCATGCAGGAGCCATCCTGTGCCCCGGGGGAGCAGCACGCCCACCTGGCTCACATCCATGAAGTTTCCGTGCCCCAAACAGCCATTGCTGCCGCTGCCGAAGGTCATGATTATCCCCCTGTCTGGAAAAGCAGAGGGAAGTGGTGTTACTGGTGTGTATGAGGCCCTGCAAGGCACCCACATAGCCCATGGGGATGGTTGTGGCTCCCAGCACCCACTCCGGTCCCTTCCAACCCAAACTACTCAATGACTGTAGGATCCCATAGCTTGCTGCAGGGGCCGGAAGCCTTTAGTGAGCTTCCAGAGAGCAGCAGCCTCAATGTGCTGTAACAACTCAAACAAAGAGCAGATGACAACAGAGAGCTGAGATAACATTATTGCAGCTGTGTAACTCCACCGTGTGTCAAGGTGTTCAACACACAGAGGCAGCCACGCAGCAGAAGGGGAGGCAGGAAACGCCATGGAGAGGCAGAACAAACCCCTGCCTGCAGTTTGTCTATTGCATGTCTGCCATTTGCTGCCCTGATAGCCAGCAGAAGTGCAAATGGGGCTCTAAAAGGACTACTGGGAGGGCTTTGCTCTACAAACAGCCTCAAGCTGGTGTGTGTGCTACTCTCCCAGCTAGAGGTTCACTCTAAGGGGGCTTCAGACCTTGTCTTCCTATAGCTGAGGACAACCAACCCTATAGGAGCTCACACTGAGTTCACACTGCAACGCCAGTCACTGCTGGTCGCTGCTTGTGTCTGCATCACACTCACAGGGTGACAAAGGCTGAATGTCCCAGATGCTCCTCACACTGCAGTCCCCACTCTACAGGTCGGTTCTGGCTCCATGTAACAGCAAAAGGAGGAGATCTGTGGCCCTCCCCACACCAGACACACCTTTGGGATCAAGTTGACCATTTGAGCATCATAGGACGACCATGCCTGTTATTTCTGCCCCTTACCTAATGTTATATGAGAGGCCACGCAGCCTTTGTGCCATCCCACCCCAGCATCCCCGAGGCTCCTCTCTGTGCAGGCTCCCCAAGCAGTGACACTCCATTTACAAGCCTGAGGGGTCTGGCACTCGGGAAGGTGAAGGCAGGAGGCAGCAGCTCACCTGTGAGGCAGGCTGTGAAGAGATCCCCACAGGACACGTGTTTGATGGTCACACCAGACTGACCCTCCAGGAAGCGGGACACAAACTGAGGCTGGAGCTGCTCAGTGGCTCCAGGGAGGGAAGGGCCTCCTGCAGCACCCACTGGGGGAGCCTGGTGGAGAGAAGCTGTGTCATCTGCAGTGGGGTTGGAGACCTCAGAGGAGTGCTGCAGTGATGCTGCAGGATGCAGTGCCAGGGCTTATGCAGTGAGCAGACATCAGTCACCATCACTCACCTCCCACAGGATGAGCCTTCCCGACTTGGTGACCCCAGCCTTCTGTGTCCTGCCTGCAGACACCTGCACCACCTCAGTGTTAAGCATGGGCAGTCGGAGAGGGGTGGTGATCCCGCTCCCCCACGTGTAGATGGATGACAATGGAGGAGGGATTCCTGTCCTGGCCGAGCCCCCTCGAACACCTATGGGTCATAGAGAAATCATTAACATGGATCCATGAGTCACTTCCCACAGGAATAGAAGACACCAGCCAGTCTGGGTGCCAGCATAGCTGCCTGCCAGCTAGCAGAGCCAGACCAGTGCCTGGCCAAGGCTGGCAAGGGGCTGCTGCAGAGGTCCTTGTATTAACCCCAGAACTGAGGGAAGTGGCACCACAACAGCTCTATCCTCATTGTTATCAATGCCAGCTGCACCGGCCTGCACCAGGACATCCCCCTCAGCATCCCCCTGGCTCATTCCCAGCCTTCGTTGGGAACAGCAGAAACTTGGTTCAGGCGCCCATGGACCCCTCCAGGGCTCATGGAAGCTGACATCTCTTAAACTTCCCCTCTCCAGAAGCAACAGTGCCTCTGACCCTCCCACCATCCAAAGGAAAGGGTCCTTCTGAATGGAGCTGTGTTGAACACACCGTGCCAGGACTCACCCCTCGGCCTGGCACTGCTCACTCGTCCCCCTGTCCAGCTGTGGCTCACTGTTGGCACCGGAGCCAAGGGTTTTTCAGGCCTGCCAAATCAAAACCCAGCCTTCAACACCAGCTTAGTCCAGAGGTCCTGCAGAGCCCTGCATCACAGAAGGTCTGAGCAGAGCTACAGCATAAGCCATGGCTGAATGTCCTCGGCAGCTTAAACCACCTGAGAAGGGAGTTGGCATCACTGTGCTTCCCCCTGAGCTCACAACTCTGTTTGCTCTAATGACAAGTTCATACCTGCCGTGGCACCTGCTATGGCCTCAAGCTTGGCCTGCAGCAGCTGCACATTGGCTAACACAGGAGAGCTGCATGGGGAAATGCTCTTTGGAGCTCAGTGAGCCGGTCAGACACGTGCGAGCTGTCCAAGGCACACTAAGGTGACACCTTCACTTGCCTTCTCATCTTGACACTGCCCACGTCAGTGTAGAGGTTCAGAAGGGGCCGAATGCAGATGGCCTGGGCCATGATCTCATTCAGCTGGGGCCGCTTGGAAGGATCCAGGTTCAGCATGCTAAGGATGAGCTGGCGCAGGTCGGGGCTGTATCTGTCTGATATTGGGGCAAACGTCCCGCTCATGATCTTCAGTACCAAGGCAGGAAGATTCTGGAGAGACAAGAGACACATACAGCACCTGGGTGGTGAGAGGCAAGGCTGAGGAGCAGGAAGTTCTGAGCACTGACTCTGCCTTCACACCTCCAGGCTCAGTGAGAAGAGTGACCCAAGCATGCATTGGCAGCTCCCTGGGCTGTGTGGAAACCACCTCCTTCTTACCGCAGCTTCGAAAGCCCTCTTGAGGCTGGCGAGTTCATAGAGCACACAGCCCAGAGCCCAGATATCACTCTTCTGGTTGTAAGGCTTCCCTTCGCAGAGCTCTGGGGAGATGTAGCATGGGGTTCCCACAACCTAGAAGAGACAGTTTTACCGTGATGCTGGGAAACTGGGGCAGCAAAGTGGAAAGAGAAAGGCTCAGTTTAGAGCACAGCATGCAGGCTGGCTGGAGCACCACCAACCAAAGCTTGGTGGAGCTGGGCTTTTTGTTCCTTGGTGGCAAGATCTGCTTGAGAATCTCAGTATAAACCATGAGGATTTGCTTTTCTGGTGACCTCCTTTGCTCATACAGAGATTACCTCTCATTTTGCTCCTATTCACTGGAGAGAATCAGAGCCTGGAGCAATGAGCATGATGTAAATGTCTAGTCAGATTAGACCAGGTGGGGAATGACACTCAGGGAGAGGAGATTAAGTCAAGGCAGGACAGAGGCACTGGCAGGGATTTTGTTGCCAAGTATGTGTCAGACAAACCCACAGACACCACTGTGACAGCGGGAGGAACCCTGTCTCCCCTTACCAGTGCTCCCAATGCGCTGCATTAAACTTGGGTGTGAAGCCATCAGCTTATATAAACTCCAAGTACCAAAGCAGCACCACGACACATAGAAGTAGCCTACTGCAAGTGTGCTACACCCAACCTCGCTGCCAGCTTCCAAGAGACTATCCTGAGCCAAGTCCAGCTCCCAGCTGGCTGCCATGGTGCTAAGCAGCTCCCCTGCAGAGCCAGGCCACTCACCGTGTAGGCTTTGCTCTTGCTGCTCAGGATTTTGGAGATGCCAAAGTCTCCGATCTTGACAATCATGCGGTGCTTGTCCAAGAGGATGTTCTGAGTCTTCAGGTCACGGTGCAGGATCTGCTTGGTGTGCACGTGGTGGAGAGCCAGGAGGATCTGCACGAAGAAGTGCAGGATGGTGTCCTCATCCAGCAAGGAGTTGCAGCGCTTGTGAATGAACTCTGCTAGTGTGCCCCCTGTGATGAACAAGAACGGGCTATCAGCAAGGGGGGCTGCTTAAACCCAGCCTCAAATCCAGTGGGATTTAGCCATGGCATCTTAAGCCAAGCACATCCTGGTGGGACACGCAGCATGTCCTCCAGTGCTGCTGAGACCATGCAGAGAACAATGGCAGCACGCTTGGTGGGACAACGGAATGGCAAAAGAGAAGTTACTGTTGATGTATTGTCAAAGGCAGCAGGAAAAGAAACACTAAAACTAGAGCTCTGGGAGGAGGACACAAACCTCAAGAGCAGAACAAGATAAGCCTGTTCTGCAGAAGGGAGTTCTTGTTGTCCAAGAGGCCACGTGGCAAGGAGAGGCCCCTGTTGAGAAGGGAAGGTGCAGATTCAGGGCTCACGCATAGCTTCTAAGAAACCCTGATGGAAACGTTGCTTTCATCTGCAGCTCCACAGCAGATCTCGTTAGAAATCACACCTTCCCACACAGAGCTGGGGGAGCAGCAGCGTGGCCGAGAGCTGACACAGGGAAATGTGTGTGAAACCGAGGCCAAGGGCAGATGGCAGCACGCTCACTGGTGACAGAGGTGTTAGAAATCTCTTTGTTTTGGATATGATTAACATGCATAAGGCATAGAATCGTAGAATCATGGAATGGTTTGGGTTGGAAGGGACCTTAAAGCTCATCCATCCCCAACCCCTGCCATGGGCAGGGACCCCTTCCACTGGAGCAGCTTGCTCCAAGCCCCTGTGTCCAACCTGGCCTTGAGCACTGCCAGGGATGGGGCAGCCACAGCTTCTCTGGGCACCCTGTGCCAGTGCTCTGTCACTCAGCTCACAGTCAGCTCCCGAGGAACCAGTGCCAAGGGACACGAGGGCCCCACCTGGGGCGTACTCCATGGCGATCATGAGCGCCTTGTCCTCCAGGAAGTTCTCGTAGTACTCGATGACGTTGGGGTGGCTGAGCAGCTTGAGGACCTGGCACTCGTTCTGCGCCGCCAGCCGCTCGTCCTTGCTCATCTGCTCCACCGGGATCTGCTTCAGGATCACCAGCTTCTGGTCGGCCTTGCGCAGGCAGAGATGCACGATGCTGCAGGACGGGGACAGGGGCTCAGTGCAGGGGACATGCAGCCACCACCCCGGGGTGACACGTGGCCCCTGCCCCTCCCGTTGCCATGGCAACAGGGCCTGCACCCCAGTGCCGTGTCACCCCATCGCCATGGCAACAGCCAGAGACTGGACACCCCCCTCCCTTAAGGTACCACATACCGGATGACCCCCGCGTTGCCACGGCGACGCTTTGTTGCCATGGTAACGCGGCCTGCCTCCCACCGCCGCTCCCCGCACACAGCCGGGACATCCCCGTTCCGACACCCCCGGCTCCCCCCCGCCCCGGAGCCGCCCTCACCCGAAGGCCCCTCTCCCCACCACCCGGATCCGCTCGTATTTCTCCATCGCTGCCCCGGCCGGGCCCAGCCTCCTCCTGTCTCCATGGAGACACTTCCGGGGGTTGCTACGGCAGCCGCGGGTGGACAAAACACCCCAGGCCGTGCTTGTGTCTCGCCGTGTGTATAGGGCTAGCGGGGGACGGGACGGGGACTCTCCGCTTCTACCAGGGGAGATCGATGCCTCCCCACGGCGACCTGGCCCCTCGCTTGTGGGGGTACCCACGGCTCGGGGTCCCGCCCTGCACCCGGCGTGGAGGGGACAGGGACCGCGCTGGCACTGCCAACCGCACGCCACGTGGCCGTGCTGCCATCTAGCGACCGGCATACCGGAGGCAGAGCCACACCGTGCCAGGGACACACGCACACGGTGTCCGGGACAGATGTGCTGGACCCACGCCAGCGGTGCAGCACCAGGACAGATGTGCAAAGCCTGGAATGGATGCGCAATGCCTGTCATGCACACGCTGCGCCAGCCCTGCACGGGCACCCAGAGCCCCGCACGCGTGTGCGCCACACCTGGCCCACACGTGTGCAACGCTTCGCACAGAGATAGCACCGCAATCACGCACTACATCAGCAGGAACACGCACAACACCTCAGACACAAGCGCAGCGCCTTGCACACGTGCGTGCAACACAACGCCTTAACACACACACACACACACACGTGTGTGCCTCCCGCACACCCGCTCCCGCGCAGATGGGGGCGTGGTCAAGGAGGGAGGCGTGGCCAGATGAGGCGTGGCCAATGAGGTGGCGTGGTCACTTGGGAGGCGAGGCCAGTGCGGTGGTGTGGTCAATGGGGAGGCGTGGTCAGCGGAGAGGCGCGGCCAATGGGGGCGTGGCCAGGCGGCCGCGCCGCCGGAGCTGGGCGCGATGGGCCCGGGCTGGCGGGCTCCGTCGGCGGCGCTGGTGGCCGGTAGCGTGGCGATCTTCGCGGGGCTGCGGCGGCTGGCCCTGGCCCTGCCCCGGCCCGCTGCCGTGCGGAGCCGCCCCGGCCGCGCCTGGCGCTGGCTGAACCTCCTCGTCTCTTTCGCACACTCCGTGCTGGCCGGGCTATGGGCCCTCTTCAGGTACCGGGAGGTTGGGACGGGATGGGGGGGTGCACACCCTGCGAAACGGGAGCGGGGGTCTGGACCCCTCTGCTCCCCTGGCCCCCAGCGCCCTACCTCTGACCCCCTCCCTCCTTTCCTGCCCTCACCCCCAGCCTCTGGCACGCCCCGGAGCTGCTCTCCGATATCCAGGACGGCTACAGCGTCTCAGGGCACCTGCTGGTCTGCTTCTCCTCAGGTAAGCTTAGAGCCGGGCAGGGCTATGGCTGCAGTCACTCCCTGGGCTCTGCCCAATCCCTCTCCAGCCGCTCCCAGCACTCTGGGCTGTGGGGAGCCCTGGCTTAAGGGCCGGGCAACTTTGCTCCATACCTCCTGCTTTAATCATGACCGTGGAGCCTGCACACTTCAAGCCCCTGGGGCCTGGCCATCACCCCACGCTCAGACAGGGTGGAGGTGCAACACATGGAGCATACTCACAGCACCCTCCTCCTCATTGCTGCTCCCTCTCACCGCAGCGAGTGACTGTACACAACCCAGATCCCCTCAATCCTCTCCTTCGTCCTACAGGTTACTTCATCCACGACACCCTTGACATCATCTTCAACCATCAATCCCGCTCATCTTGGGAGTACCTGGTGCACCACGCCATGGTGAGTATGACCCTAGGAGGGTGAGGGGGCCAGCACAGGGGGTACCACATACACCAGAGCTCAGCCCATGCAGGTTTCAGGTGCTATGGCAGGGTAAGCCGGAGCCCTTCCCTCCACCTTGCCCTGGCTGCCAGGTAGGCTGCACATCAAGGCAAGGGTGCCTGGAGGGGCAGGACTCCGGGAGCCAGACAGGCTGCCGCGCCAGTGAGGGAAGAGCTCCCCAGCACAGGGAGGTGGAACTGGTCCTGGGGGAACTGGTTCTCCAGGTGCCTGGGGGGGCTGCGGGGTTGTCTGTGTGTGGGGAGCAGCACTGTGTGGTCCCACTGAGGGTACACCCAGACCAAGGCGGGGAAGGAGTCACCATCCCCAGGGCGAGGAGAGCTTACCTTGTACCCTGTGTGTGTGTCCCAGGCCATCTCTGCCTTCGTCTCGCTCATCATCACAGGCCGCTTCTTGGTGGCAGCCATGCTGCTGCTGCTGGTGGAGGTGAGCAACATCTTCCTCACCATCCGCATGCTGCTGAAGATGAGCAACGTGCCTTCCCCGGCGCTCTACGAGGCCAACAAGTACATCAACCTGGTGGTGTACTTCGCCTTCCGCCTGGCGCCCCAGGCTTACCTCACCTGGTACTTCCTCCGCTACGTGGAGGTGCAGGGCCAGGGTGCCTTCCTCACCGCCAACCTCCTGCTGCTCGATGCCATGATCCTCATGTACTTCTCCCGCCTCCTCCGCTCCGATTTCTTCCCCTCCCTGCGGAAGGGCTCTGCGGGGAGAGATGTGGATGGTGAGAAGTTTCTGATAGACTGAGACGTGCGCGCCATGGGGGACCCAGGCTCTGGCTTCTGGAGGTTTTGGGCTCTTCCAACCTGCTCTGATGTGCCTTAGGGCTTGCTCCGCAACCCCGGGCTCTGCCTTCACCTGCTCTGCCGCCTAAAAGCACTTCCCTGCCGGACCAGCCCGAAAGCCTCGCCTCGCCGCAGGGATGCCACCGAAACCAGGGGCACGGCTGATGGAGAAGCAGCCCAAGCTGGTTTCCATGCGGGCAGCTGGCGGGCCAGGGGTGGCTGTGTTCCGCAGCTGATGGCCTGAGAGGGTTGCGAGGGCAGGGACGAGTCCCTCCCGTGGTGATGTTGGGTGTTATGTGCATTAAAATCGGTCTGATTACTGCTGCCGCAGCACGCCTGGGCTGCCTCTTCTGTGGGGCAGAGCAGGGATGATGGGAACAGAGTGATGGGAAAGGATGTGCCCCCATTCCCAGAGGAGGGCTGGCAGTCCTCAGGGGTGGAGAGGACGCGTTTCTGTTCTAGGGACCCTCCAGAGGTGCACTCAAGCCTCTTGGTCCCAACTGAGCCTTTAAGCAAGACCCCATCCCTCCCATGGATAGGTCCCTCTCCTCCTCACTCATCGTCCACAGAGCAGGGGAAGGGAGCCAGGAGAGGCATGGAGCCTTGCTGCAGTCCCTGACCTGTCTCCTGCCTGGCGGCGCGGAGCCTGGCTGCTCTGCATGACTCACCCAGCAGCCACGTGAAGCAGAGCTGGCATGGGAAAGCCGTGTGAGGCCACGGGCTCTTCCTGGAAGACTGCTGCATGTTTGCATCACCCCCCCCGGAGTGCTCTTGGTTGGCACAGAGCAGCTCCAGCCTCCTGTGAGGGTGCTGGGTCCAATCCTGCAGCAGCAGGACCAGGCTGGCTCCAGCAGCATCCCCAGAGCAGCAGGAGGAGAGGGAGGAGGGGGGGTCAGCTCCCTGGGGCAGTGAGGCCAGAACCAGCCCAGCCAGTCCTGTGGAACACCAGAGCACTGGGAAGGCAAATCCTGCTGACGTGACAGCTCAGGGATCACATCGGACTGGCATAAGCAATGTGGCTTAAAGGGACTCAGCCCCGGGACAGGATCCATCCTACCAATCCCACCACCACCTCAGCTCAGGCAGACATAAACTGGTGGTTAAATGGGAGCAGTGGGGGAATCCCACAGGGCTGGGACGCTGCTGGGGCTCCCCTGATGCGCTGCCACCATGGACCGTGCTGGGAACAGCCTGGCAGCCAGAGCAGAGGCAGGATACTGGGGATGTGGGCAGGGACCTATGCCAGCTTCAAACCCTCAGAACAGAGCTCAGCAGCCCCAGCAGGGCACAGCCTCACCCTCAGCAGCACATCCTGATGGATACACATCTGCCCAGCTGCAGCTGCAGCCCCACGGCCTCTGTGCATCAACTCCATCTACAGATAGCCCACACAAGCTCAGAGCTGTTTCTCCTCACCCCGGTTGCTGTGCCTTTCCTCTTGTCCCTCCACACGGAGGAGGGATGACTCCATCCCAGCTCCCACCACTCTTGCAGCAGCATGAAAGGGTCAGGGCATGACAAAGCTTCCCGAAGCACAGAGCCCTGGTTTCCCTGTTCCCCACCTGGCTTCCAGCCGGATCACCCCCCAGCAGTGCTGGGGCAGCAGTGGACCAGGCCAGCTGCCAGCCCAGAGCAAGGGGCAAAGCACAGGGGAGCACAGAGCCAGGCAGCAGCAGCCACAGTGCAGGGTCAGGGCAGACTGCAAGTCATGCGGATGTGAAATCCCTCCCTGGTGTCTGTGCCGCAGCACAGCCCACTCCTCACCCCAGCAGCGGTACCAGCTTTGCTACAGGAAGGACACCTCTCCCCCTTTGTCTTTCTTGGGGTGAGTACAGCTGAGGAGGCAGCACAGGGCTGAGGCAAACCCCTCTGAGCCCCTGCTGCTGCTCATCCCCTCCCCAGACCATGGGCAGGAGGTCGGGCTGCTGCCCGGGAAGCCGTGCTCCTCCCTCCGGGTGGTTTCTCATCCCTCACCTCCTGCCTCTCCTCCCAGCCTGGCTGAGCATCCCACAGCACCAGGGAGAAGGGGGTGCTTCCAGGCAGCTCCCACCTCCAACCCCAGGGCCCCAGCTCCTTGGATAAGGTGAGGGTGTGATGGCAGCTCTGAGCACCAGGTTGGAGGTTCTCAAACTAAGGGCCATGCAACCAGCACAGATCTTAACCCCTATGGCAGCAGCCTCCCCTTCCCATCCACCCCTCTCCTGCACACACATACAATCCACCCCCCCAGGACTCTCAGAGGCTGGAAGGAACTCCATGTCCCACCCTTCAAGAGCTCAATTAGGCCAATCAATATTTGGACACAGCTTTCAACACCTTTCTCACTCAGGTCTGACTCCACACTTAAGATCAAGTACCTCTAAAAGCTTACCCGTTCGTTCTTTGCCTCCCTTTCCTGCTCTCCCACATTCCTGCAGCTCTCCAAACACTGACAGGCCGGTTTCATCTACAAATTTGAGGAAGTAAAAGACTGCCAAGGCAGGAAGAGTTTGCAAACAGCCCTGATGAGGACTGTGAACCTGTGGGGTTAGACGAACAGTGCTCATGGAAACCGGGCTGTGATTCACACACTGCAGCGTGGGGAGCAGGGATCACACCAGGGGAACAAAACCACAGCACCTCTACTATTGGATTAGCTTGGGGGCTTCACCAGGTGAAGCCTGCAGCATAGCAAAGAGCTGATACACTTAGGAAGTGGTGTGACACTCTGCCTGTGGCAGATGTGAAGCATTCACACGTTTCTGTTGTTACTGCCTCCCTCCTGGGCACTCAACAGCCTGGGGTATGCTCCACGAGGAAGGACACCAATCACCAACACATCCTAATTGCACAGTGCAAGAAAATGCAGAAGGATACCAGAGGTTTGAGGTAAATACAGAGATCTGAGACCTGGGGGGCTGTCACCCCATGCTTTACCCACAGCAGAGGTCAGTGATGCAGCAGACCCCACTGCTCCCCATGTGATCCCCCAGGGAGCAGGCAGCTCTGCCCACCCAGTGCCAGGGAAGCAGAGAGGAACCCCCTTCACTGAAGTGAACCCCAGAAGTTTGCTGGGTGCTCTCTTTCACAGAGGCCGTGCTGGCACAAAACACAAGAGCCCCTCAGTGGTGTCACAAGGTTTATTCTCCTGTCTGTACAGTCCTCGGTAGATGCAGTTTAGATGATTCCAATCTGGAAAGAAGCAAAGCATGTTAAAACAGATGTTACAGTGGCAGGAAGGCAGAGCCTCCAGCCAGGTATCACTGCATCTCCCCAGGATTCCTGTCCTCTGAGCACAGGCTTCTTCATCCCAGACCTGCCCTTACACAACAGCTTTATGCATTTAAATCACAGTAACTTGCATTAAGTCACATTCCTTCTTGCCTACCCCAAAAACCTTGAGGACCAAACTGTCCACCACTTCCAGCAACACACAGCAGTCTTGCTTCTGAACCCCTGGATCCTGTCTTACTACCAGGAAACCCCAAAGTGCTACTGTGCTTGAAGCACAATCCCTTATGTGTACACCAGGACAATCAGGTGGGGAAGATAAAAGACAACCAATGTTTCTCACCTTGTTGGCTACATCCAGCGCATCGTAATCTGGAGCCAGTCGGACGTAAGCCTTCTTCTCTCCATCAGGCCTAGAGTGCAACAGGGGACATCAGAAGAGAGGCACACAGCTCCCACATGCTCCACCTTCCCACTATACCAACGTGCATCAGTGGTTCCTTTGGAAACATCACTGTACTCAGTGAATAACAACGTTTACATCATTTGCACAAGGCTCCCTGGGTGTTAGAAGAGCTCCCTGGTGAGGCCCCTCTGGTCTGCCACCATCTCCCACTCCCACTGAGATGTGCTCAGTCACAAAGTGCATGTCTCAAAGCTTTAACACTGAACCACCACAGAGCTCAATCACCACCAATGACCTATTCTCCCCCTCTTCTCACCTAATCAATGTGTTGACCTTGGCCACATCAATATCGTAAAGCTTCTTGACCGCCTGTTTGATCTGGTGCTTGTTTGCCTTGACATCCACGATGAAAACAAGGGTGTTGTTATCCTCTATCTTCTTCATGGCAGACTCTGTGGTCAAAGGGAACTTGATAATGGCATAATGGTCCAGCCTGCAGGACAGAAACCCTGTGGTTAACAGAAAGCTGGAAGAAGCCATTTCCGCTCTTCAAGGGCTTTCTCCGGGGTGCATCAGTTGCCAAAAAATGCTCTCATCACAAACTCTCAGGCTTTGGTCGCTTGAAATCATCACCTGCACCCCAAATACCCCGTCCCAAGGCTCTGCCCAGCTCCCAAGGTGGGACATTTGCAAGGTCTCATCCTGAGCCCAGCAGCAAAGTCCATAGGGCCCATGCACAGGGCTGCTTCCAGCCCACAGCAACCCACACATACTTGTTTCTCCGTGGGGCGCTCTTCCGGGGGTACTTGGGCTGCCGCCGCAGCCGCAGGGTCTTGGGCCTGCGGAAGGTGGGCGATGTGCGGATCTTCTTCTTCTTGTGGCTGTGGACCCCCTTCAGGACGGCCTTCTTGGCCTTCAGCGCCTTCGCCTTTGCCTCTGTCTTCGGAGGCACAGCTACGATGACAGATCATCAGCACAATCAGGATCTGCAGGGCCAGTATCAGCTCCCCTGCCCGTCCCAACGGGCCATCGCTTCCCCTTGTCCCAGGGGGAAGGATCTCATTCATGGGGGGCTTACAATGGAGATCCAGGACACCCCCAAGGAGTCCACGCTCCTTCATCTAACCAAGACCAACCCCAAAACGCTCAGTGACGGACGTTTCCCCTCATAAAGCCTCAATTACGAACTTATTCCCTCTCCATTTCCCTCACAGACCCTCAGCACCTAAATGGGACTCACCCCCTCAGGTAACCGCACTGCTGCAGGCCTCTCCCGCCACCTCCACGTGTCCGCGGCCCAGCACCGGACTCCAGGCTTCCCTTACCCCCTTCAACCGCTCATCCCGGCCTCCCCCGCTTACACCCGTATCCCGGGAACCACTCCAGCACACCCCAATCACCACCCCATAGCCCCCCATTGCCTCAGGCCCTCACCCTCCTTCTTCGCCTTGGGCGCCATCTTGGCCGGGCGGAAGCCGAAAGGGGCTACACGCGCCAGACCGCAGGGGCTTATAACCTTAAATCTCGCGAGAGTTCCCCAGTCCCCGGTATTCAACTCTCGCGGCGCCGCGAGGTATGCCGGGAATAGTAGTACTCGCTGGCAGCCTCACTCGCGCATGCGTAGAGGTGTGTTTTCGCCGTGGGGCAGCATGGGAGTTGTAGTCCTGAGCGGCAGCCGGTCCCCTATCGTTGCCTCGACGGTGGGGACCGGGATGAGCACCGGTGTGGGGGGGGAATGGATGGATCCCAGCGTGTAGGCAGCAGCGTAGCAGTCCCAGCCCCGGAGGAACCGGCGTCCTGGCTCCTCCCCGCCGCGCGCGGCGGGGAGGAGCCAAGACGCCGGTTCCTCCGGGGCTGGGTGTGCAGCGCCGAGCATCGCTACCGTTACCGGGAGGTTCGCGGTAACGGGGACACCCCCCCTCGCTCTATTCCCCTGCGGAGGGGACCGGGATGGGACGGGGAGGGCTTGGCTGTGGACAGGGATGCGGTGTGGGGGATCGCGGACGGGCACAGGCGGGATGCGGGGACACGGGGATGGTCTTGCTCCGGGAGACGGGGATGGTGGGGAGTGGGGAAAGCCACACTAGGGGACGTAGGGACTGGTGGGACACAGGGATGAGGGATGGAAGTGCAATGGGATGCCACATTTGGGATGTGGGGATAGCTGGGACACGGGGACAGAGTTTGGGAACATGGGGGCAGGCATGCCCTGGGATGGCACGTTAGGGATATGGGGGTGGATGGGACATTGGGATGGCTGGGATATGGGGACAGCCATATCCTGGGGTGGCACATTTGGGATGTGGGGATGGCTGGGACATGGGAACAGTTTGGATATGGCGATAGACACGCTCTGGGAGCTTAAGGGGGCTGGGAGAGGGGGACATCCATGCTTGGGGATGTGAGGACAGTCAGAACACAGGGACAGACACGTCCCAGGGATGTGGATACACCTGGAATAAGGGAATAGCCCCACTGGCGACCCAGGGACAGCCCCATGGGGCCAGCTGTGACACGGGGCCATCACCGCTCCCTTCTCCCTCTGTCCCCAAGCCCTGCAGTGGCCCTCGGCTCATCCTCACTGCCCCGCAGCCACCCAGCCCTCCCCACCACCCCCGCGGGACAATGAACATCCTGGCTCCGGTCCGCAGGGACAGGGTCATCACCGACCTACCCCCGGTGAGCAGAGGGGGGGGAACGGGACACACACAGACACACACCGGCCGCGGGGTGACCTCATGGGGCCCCACGATCACACCGGTGTCCCCCTTCGCGTCCCCCCGCAGTGCTTTCGGAAGGAGGCCGCCCTGCACACCCGCTCCTCCTTCCACCCCACCGTGTCCAGCGCCTGCCAGGAGCAGCGGACGGGCACCGTGGGGTGAGCAGGGGGTGATGGGGGTGAGCAGGGGGGGGGTCCCACCATGGGGGTGATGGGGATGACACGGGGTTGGGGGTCCCCAACGCGGGTGCCGCGTGGCTTTGCCTGCGTTGCCGTGTGCCGAGCCCTGCGTCACGGCACAGGAATGCGGAGCGGGGGGGGACACGGGGGTCTGGGATGGGCTGCGGCTGGAAACGGGAAACACGGGATATGGGGGGGGGGGGGGTGCGGGGCTGTGCGGTGGCACCCCCCGACCCCATTAACCCCTCTGATCCTATGGCTGGTTGGGGGGGGTTTAAGAAGGGAGCCCCCCCCAATAATCAGCCATGAGCCCCCCTGTGCTGCAGGTTCAAGATCTCCAAGATCATCGTGGTGGGGGACCTGTCGGTGGGGAAGACGTGTCTGATCAACCGGTAACTGTGGTTAACTGGTAACGGGACCCCCCTGGGGGGGGTGTTAATGGGGTGGGAGGGGACAGAGGAAGGGACCACCCCCCTCCTAAAAGAGCAGCAGCGCTGATTGGGCTGAGCCTGATTCCAATTGGGCATCCCACGGTGATGGGGTGGGGGGGCTGCTGACAGCCTTCCCCCCCCCCCCCCCCGCGCCCCAGCTTTTGCAAGGACACCTTCGACAAGAACTACAAGGCGACCATCGGGGTGGATTTCGAGATGGAGCGGTTCGAGGTGCTGGGGGTGCCCTTCAGCCTGCAGCTGTGAGTGAGGCGCCAGCCCCTCCTTCCTTCCCTCTGCACCCCTGTGCCCCCCCCAATCACCTCCTGCACCCCCCCAAAGGTGGGACACGGCCGGGCAGGAGCGCTTCAAGTGCATCGCATCCACCTACTACAGAGGAGCACAAGGTGAGGCCTCCCCACCACCACCATGATCTTGTCCCATCACAGTGTCCCCATCCCCATCCCACCCCTCTCCTCCCTCCTCCAGCCATCGTGATTGTCTTTGATGTCAACGATGTGGCGTCCCTGGAGCACACGAGGTAGGTGCCACATGGCCCAGGTGGGACTGGGGATGATGGGTGATGGTGGGGATGGAGGCAATACTAGAGTGTGAGGGCAAGAGGGTAGCGCTTGGCTGGTGACTCCTATAGGCAGTGGCTCGCTGATGCCCTGAAGGAGAATGACCCATCCAACGTGATCCTCTTCTTGGTGGGCTCCAAGAAGGACTTGAGCGTGAGTGTGCCCCCCATCCCATGGGCTCCCTGTGCTCAGTGCCTGTGTCCCTGTCACCCATCCACCTCCTGGTTCATTGACAGACACCAGCCCAGTACAACCAGATGGAGAAGGATGCTCTCAAGGTGGCCCAGGAGATGCAGGCAGAGTATTGGGCTGTCTCCTCCCTCACCGGTGGGTCCCTGGCTGTGTGTGTGTGTAAGGGATGCAGACCCCAGCATCCCGCTGGGTGATGGGGGACACTCAGTGGGGTTCTTATCCCATGGGATAGGGGAGAACGTGCGGGATTTCTTCTTCCGTGTGGCTGCCTTGACCTTTGAGAGCAGTGTGTTGGCTGAGCTGGAGCGCAGCAGCGCCCGCAGGATCGGCGACACCGTGCGTGAGTACCCCCCAACCAGCACCAGACCAGTGTCCCCCCCCTCTCTATGCTGGTATCCCCCCACTGTCCCCATCCCAACACCGTCCCCCTGCCCCTTTAGGGATCAGCAGCAACGAGAGCGACCTGTACCTATCAGCACCCCGCAAGAAACCCAAGTGCTGCCAATGAGGGACCCCCCCACGCTCACACCTCTGGACCAAAGAGGGGTGGCCCCGGCTGGCCCCAAGGAGCCACCCCTGCTGCCCTCCCTGCGTGGGCACCCATGGCTGGGATGGGCAGGAGCAGCGTGGCTCCCTTCGCTATGCAAACACAGGTACTCGCTCGGGGAGGTGCCCCCGGGCTCCTGTTTGTCTTAATAAAACCTTTTTTTATGCTTTTTAAGAAAGGTTTGGGGCTTTTAAGGAAGGGTTTGGGGTGGCTGCGGCCTCCACTGGCCCTGGGCGCAGCCTGCATCCAGCAGGGAGGATGGTGGCTGTCACCCAGGAGAGGTTAGGAACACGCTATGGATGCCCTGGACATCCCCATCCTATAGAGCCAGCATCCCTATGCCCCATGTGGGATGCAGGGGGCACCCATGGAGCCAGCCCCATCAGTTCCAGCCTAACTGATGGTGGTTGAAGCGGGGCTGCAGGCGCGGGGGGACGCAGTGGGAGCACTTGTAGCGCTCCTGGATCCATCGCCCACCCTCGCTGTCCTCGATGCAGATGGCAGCGACGCCTGTGGGGACACAGAGAGGGAAGAGCCACCATGGGGTATGGGGACGGCAGCCCCCATTGCACCCATGGGGGCACCCTACCTGCCACGACCCCCCCCAGCCGCTCCACCAGCTGGATGGCCGCTCTCATGGTGCCCCCGGTTTCAATCCACTGGTCCACGAGGAGGATGCGCAGACCTGGAATGGGGCAGAGGCAGCGCTCAGTGCCCGCTCCCCGCAGCCCCTCATCCCACAGCAGCAGCACCCCACGGGCTCACCGGGCGAGATGGCATCGGTGCGGACCTCCATCACCTTCTCTCTGCCCGAGTAGTCGGTGTAGGGCTGGGCTGCCGTCTGCACGCAGAGGTGCCCGGCTTTGCGGATGGCCAGGAAGCCTTTCTGCAGCACAGCGGCAGCGGCAGAGCCTGGGGTAGGGCACGATGCTGTCAGACCTGACCCCCCCCCAAGGGACAAGAGGCAGGGACCATGCACTCACCAATGTCCCCGCTCACCCAGGATGAAGCCCATGGCGTCGATGCCGGCCACCATGTCAATGGGGTCTCCTTGGAAGGGCTGCAGCAGGTCGGCCACGCAGTCCTGCAAGCCCTGCGGAGGGAACAGAGGTGCTGGGTGCCCATCCTGTGCCAGCACCCATGGGCACAGCTGGGTGCCCCGGCACCCCCCCCATAGAGATGCAGCCCACCCCAGGCCCACCCATGGGTGCCACCACCACCACGTGCTGGGTACTTGCGGGTGGCAGTAGAGCCGCGAGGGGTCCAGCCAGGCGTAGTTGGGACCCTTGACGTTGGGGGCCATCAGCGCCAGGTACCAGCCCTTCTCCCGGGTGGCAGGGACGTGGCACAGGTCCATGCGCGGGCACTGCGAGCATTGAGCGTGCAACAGGGGGGAGATCCCACACCCACAGACCCCATGGGGCATCCCTCCGGCACAGAGCCCCCCATGGCCCCCATTGCACCCACTCGTAGGCACCCCAAGGTCCCAGCGTGCTCCGTACCTGGGTGCTGGCGGCGAGGCTGAGCCCATGGGACCGTCATGGGGAGCGTCACAGACAGCGACAGCTGAGCAGGGACAGCCCCTGCGGTGCTGGGCCCCCGCCAGCACCCTCGGCCAGCCGGGCCCTGAACCAGTGCCAGGCCCATGGGTTGGGATGGGCACCCACTGGGATCCGCTGTCCCAGCCAGGCCAGTGCGTGGTGGGGAGCATTGGGGTGTCCCCAGCACCCAGCTGTCAGCGAGCCGGGGTGATGCTCAGGGTGCAGCCATGCACCCCTATGGGGTCTTGGGGGTGAGGGGACTTTCTTAAGCCATGCACGTCCCCGTGGGGTGTTGGGGCATTGTCCTGCCATGGCAAGCGCTGGCTCCATCGGCTGCCCCAGTGTGCCAGGTCCATGCCTGGAATATCAATGGGATCCATGGCTGGGGAGCTGGCTAAAGGGGACAAGTCCTGGCAGTGGTGTGGGGAGCTGCCTGTGGGCTGCCCCTTGGGAAGGCACCGTGGGGCATCCATGGGATGGGGCATGGGGCTGTGGAGAATGAGAATGTAGGACGGGATGCGGAGCTGTGGGTAGCACCCATGGGACGTGATGTGGGAAGCATCCATGGGATGGGATGCAGGAAACATCTATGGGACAGGACCTGGGGCCGCTAGGAGCATCTGCACAACGGGATGCAGGGAACACCCATGGGTTGGGATACAGCGAGCATCTGTAGGACAGGACCCGGGGCTATGGGGCTCATCCTTGTCCCATTAGGGCCGCACGGGGTCCGGCGCGTCACGGGGCGGGCTCGTTGTGTTACCGGTCCCCGCGCATCACCCCACCGGCTGCCACAGCAACGGGGCCCGGCCCGGGGGTGACCCCTTCCCCGCGGGGCTATAAGGGGGGCGGAGGGCGGTGAACGGCGCGGGGCCATGGGGCTGCTCCGCCGCCTCCTCCTCCTCCTGCTCCTCCTCCTGCTCTTGGCAGCGGCTCCCGGTACCGGAGCGGGGCGGCCCCGCGCCCGCCGCGGGCTCACCTACCCCGGCACGCTGTGGTGCGGAGCCGGCAGCAACGCGGATGCCTACGAGCAGCTGGGTAAGGGTGGCTCAGACCTGTCCCGTCCCTCCCCATCCCATCCTATCCCTGCCCGTTCTACCGCATCCTTTCCATCCCTTCGTGTTCCATCGCTCCCCATTCCCTTCCCTTCCCAAACTTTCCCATTCCTTTACACCTTTTCCCTTCTCTTTTTACCATTTTCCTTCCTTTTTCATCCCTTCCCTTCCGGTTCTTTTCCTTTGCCTTCCCAATCCCAGCCCTTCCCATTTCTTTTCATCCTTTCCCATTCCTTTTTATCCCTTCTCACCCCTTCTCCAGCCTGATGCTGCTCCACCAAAGCCCAGTCCCAGTTCCCAGCCCAGTGCTGGGTCAGTCCCCATCCATCCTAGCCCAATCCCATCCCAGCACTGTTCCACTCCAGTTCCCATCCCTATGATAGCTCAATCCCTGTCTGTCCCAGTCCGGTCTCAGTTCACCTTCGTCTAATCTCCACCAAAGGGCTGGTCCATTCTAGTCCCATCACTGTCCCCATCCTGGTGCTGGTCCAGCCCTTATCTACCCTCTGTCCTCAGCCTGATCCCTGGTCCATCCTGTTCCCATTCTGGTTCCCTCCCAGTCCCTATCCTGACTCCATCCTAGTCCCTTTCTTGGTCCTGGTCCCATCCTTATCCCAGTCTCATCCGCACTGTGATGCTGCTGCAGCCCCAGTCCCCATCCCAGTATGATTCCAGTCCACTCTAACACCGATCCCAGTCCTAACCTATCCCAGTGCCAGCCCAGCCCCGATCCCAGCCATTCCCAAACCCCATTTTCCCTCCCTTTAGGGGAGCACCGGGACACAGACCAGTGCTGCCGGGACCATGACCACTGCCAGCACGTCATCCACCCCTTCACTGCACGCTATGGGTACCGCAACCTGCGCTGGCACACCATCAGCCACTGTGACTGCGACCGCAGGTGAGCATCCTCCATCATCCCTTCATCCCTGCATCCCTGGACAAGGGGGAAAAGAGGTTCCAGCCCCCTGGAATCCTCCCTGAGCCCAGCTCTGCCTATGGCAGGTTAAAGGAGTGCCTGCAGCGGGTGAATGACACAGCCTCACGAGTGGTGGGTCAGGCCTTCTTCAATGTCATCCAAGTGCCTTGCTTCGAGTTCACCTACAGGGAGGAGTGTGTGGAGCCCTACCTCTATGTCTGGTGAGTGCCCCCCACCATGGGGACTGCCCCCCTGCTGAACCCCACGGGGGTCCCCTCATTCAGGGTCTCCTCTTTGCAGGTGTAAGGCGTACAACACAGTGGCCATCGCGGTGCCCAGGGAGCCGGTGCTGTATGAGTTTGGGGGGGAGCTCATTGACCGGGCAGCCAGGCCCGTGGGGGTCCCTCTATGGAGCAGCACTGATGGAGGAGCGGTCCCAAGGGATGTGCCTGCGCATCCACCCTCATCCCGCAGGAGAGCCAAGGAGGAAAGGAAAAGGAAGAAGGCGGACAAGAAGAAGGGGAAAGGTCTGAGAAAGAAAAGCTCTTCTGGAAACATGGAGCTGAGCGATGCTGCAGCCGCTGTCCCACCGCATCCCACTGCAGGGCAGGAGCCACGGGTACCACCGCTGCGGTTGGAAGCAGCCAACACCATCCTGAATGATGCCCCGGTGCAGGAAGGCTTGGGCAAGGATCCAGCATCAGCCACAGCATCCCCGGTTCCACCAACCAGCAGGAAGAGGAGGAGGAAGGAGAGGATGAGGAAGAAGAGGCTGAAGGGCAGAGCTGAGGCACATCCTGCACGAGAGCCGCGGTCCTGATCCCCCTGCGCGGGTCCTGGCTCGGGAATAAAGTCACATCTGCTCAAGCAGATGGTGCAGCCTCGGTCCTGGCTCCTTGGGGAGGGAACATCACAGCGGGGGCAGCATCCAGGGGGATCCTGGGGCTCATCCCGCTTGTGGGGATGTGGAAGGGAGTATCTGGAGCTGGGAGGATGGGGGGGATTGAAGGGGTCTGAGCTGCTCTTCACTGCTCCCACTGCCCTGTGCCATCGTCCTGGGCACTGGGGGCACAGCTCCTGTCCCCACAATAGCATGGGGTTCATCTCCCCTGCTAGAGAGCTGCAAGCCCCTGCTCCCAGGGTTGCTCTTCTCTGGAGGACCGGTCCATGAATTGCATCACACTCAACCCACAGCCTTGTCCCAGGGCTCCCACACCGGCACCAATGCCCCCAGCAATAGCGAGGAATGGGGGCCTTGTCTCCTCAAACCCCATAGGAACGCTCTTTGAAGTGGGACAACAAAAGCTTTCCCAGCCCTGGGACAAAGGCAGACGCTGCCCATGTCCATGGATGGTGATGACCCCTGGGCTTGTTCCCCTGGCTCAGAATCAGGCTCCTACAGTGAGGACAACACCCTGCAAAGTGCTTCTGAGCGAGGAGCACGGCTCAGCCCAGCATCCCCAGTGAGAGCAGGACAAACACCTCCCCACACCCCATTCCACAACAGGACCAAGCTGGAGCAACAGGGTTAGGGTTGCAATCCCCAATCCCTGAAACAAGCAGACCACATAAGCCCATGGCAGGGGAACACCAAGGCTGTAGGATGAATCCCCCTCTGGAGCACTGCTAACGGGTGCAAAGCCCTTGTGGCCAGCACAGCAAGCACAGACCTGGGGCCAGGAGCCAGCTTCCCAAAAGTAGAGTTTTTATTGAGGGGAAGGGTGAAACTAAACCCAAAAGAGAGGCAAACAAACGGGAGCAGGCACCGCACAAGCAACCCCCAGCCCTGGGTCTGACACTTCCCTGTGGAGGAGCTGCTCCCGCTCCAATTCCCATCATATGGAGCTCAGGACATAAGAAAATAGCGTTAAGGTCAGTACAGCCGCAAGTGCAGCAGCCCCGGGTCCCACACACATCCCCAGCCCACGCCTGCGGGGGGGGGACAGCACCGTGGCAGCCCCCCCAGTACTGCAGAGGGGATGGTGCCCAAGCCAGGACCTGCGTTTCTCTGTGGAAACAGCTTTGCTTTGTCCCCCGGATCGCTGCCATTCTTCAGGAGCATTTACATGCAAAAAAGACCTTTGTTTTCTTGGGATCTGCTGTTCTTGCTCACTTCCTAGAGAGAGGAGCCCGACCAGGAGCCCTTGGAAGGAACAAAGGCTCTGCTTCCATAGAAAATCCCTACTAACAAAGCAACAGAGAGGCAAGTGTGTGCAGCAGGAACGTCCCAGTAGAGGAATGGCTCTCGGTGCTGCAATACCACAGTGGGCTGTTTCTGACATGATCAAAGTTATCCAACATCACCTGCCCCTTCCCAAGCCCCCCCCCCAGTACCTCTCCCAGCCAGAGAGACACCAGATTCCAGGAGGTATCCTGGATATCCATGTGATGTCTCTAAGATGCATCCAAACCGAACCATTATTCATCAGCACAACAGAAATCAGCTTCTCCAGGAGAGTTTCAGCACGCTCCAAGCAGCAAAAGGAAGAAGGAGCATCCACTTCCACCCCTCAACTCTGCTTCTAAGCAAATCCATCGCTAAGAGGAGAGGGCAGGCAGGCAGCACGGGGTGCAGGCAGGAAAGCTCTCAGCTAGAGCTCTGTAGAAACACTATTTATTCACCCCTCTTGGTTACAAGCGGGCAGGGTTAAGCAGACACGGAGCAGGATGCCATGCACACCCGGCTGCTTCGTGTTCTCCACCATAGGAGCAGCTGCGTTCCAGCCCCACGTGTCTGTGCCGTGCTTGGGATGGCTGCTGGTGGCTGCTGCTTTGCTTTGCAGTCTGATTAGAAAAGAAATCATAAATCAAAACTAAATAAATACTGTTCCAAAAAGAAGCCAAAGGAAGGAGCAAGCCTTTGGTATGAGAGCAAGACCCCGAGCTCCAGTGCTGGGCCCCTATGAACACAGCCAGCGGTTGGCAGAGCATGAAACCGTGGAGCAAACCAACCACAGGAACTGAGAACTTGGGCTTGCTTGACACAACCCCTGTGGGTTCTGTGCTCTCAGGGAGATGACAGTCAGGGTTGGGGAGAATCCAGATGTAACAAGCTCACTCTAGGCCCATGGTTTGCTCTTCCAGCTACGTTTGCTTCCTAGTCTTTGTGGTGAGAGCAGAACTGTTGTGCATGGACAGGAACAGACTCATCTGACAACAGAATTACTTTGCTGAGCTTCCCAAATGGTGAACCAGGGCCTAGAACACAGAGACCACTGCAGTGTCCCTTCCTATGATATAATTCTTTATATATAGTACATATATTTAGACCAGCCCTGCCAAGTCTATTCAGTTGCTCAGGTGCACGTCACTAAGAGTCACTTCCCACGATGTATAAAACAGGAGTTATGCGGCTAAGGGAAGAGTTGTTTTCAACTGTTCACTCTCTTCTCCCCTTCCCAGAAGAGAGTGGAGGTGTCAGGTCAGGCCCAGCAGCACCTATCGATCCATCTCATCCAGCAGCGGTGTGGCATCCCCAGCGATGGACATGGGTGTGCTCTCGATCATGGGGCTGGGAGACGGGCGAGGAGTCAACCTCTGCTTCTGTTTCCTCCGTTCAGCCTCCTTCTCCTGCAGCCACTGCTCGGCCATCTTCCCCCAGTCGATGGCAGCGTGATTGGTGGTCCTGCAATGACACAGGCACAACATCAAACACATGGACGGAGAGATTCCAAGCCCTCCATCCCTGAGGATCCCATGCAGGAAAGGTGCAAGGCAAGCCCACCCCACAGAAATCAGGATGGGACACACAGTTAGATGTGCACCCAGCACTGGGGCCACTCACTTTGGCTGCTGCCTCTGCCTGGAGCTGGATGATGGTTGGGACTGCGTCTGGGACTGGGTGGACTGGGGTGTGGTGTTGGCCTGGAGCTGGTACTGAGGCGTTGTGATCGGCTGGCTGGGGGTAGTGTAGGAGTAACTGGGGGTCATCAGAGGGGTGGCCACCGGTTGCTGGGCTGGAGTTGTGAAGACCTGCAGAGAGCACATGGTGTTAGAAGAGAGGGCAAAACCTGCTGGGCTCTGCATTGCTCTGATTGCCCAGGAGCCTGGTGCACATCCTCACCGTGCACTCCCAGCCCTGCTGGAGCCCCTCATCTGGGCAAGGAGAAGTTTGCAGTGGCCATTGCCCAGGGGATGGAGGCTGCAGGGCAGAAGGAACAACACCCTGCTGAGCACAGGGCATTGTGCCCCTGAGATCTCCTCATCACCCACCCAATCTGGCCACCGCATCCTGCCTTCCTTCTTCACCCCACACAGGGTACAAGGGGAGATGCTTAAGCCAAGCAGAGGTAAGGGCTGTAAGAGGTGGGCACAAGAGACACTTTGGGGCAAGCTAGCAGGAATGTCCCACAGTGGGTTTGAAGAACAGATGAATTCTTCCCCTGTGAGCACAGCAGCTTCCGAGATGGCTCCTTCCCAGATCCCAGGCTGGCTGGCTCAGCCCAATGGAGTGTTTAGTCTCTGCCTCCTGGTGTTCATCTCCCTTCAGATTGTCTTGATGATTAACACATTGGGTTATGCACAGTTCCTGCCTCTCCCCAGTGCTGGCTGTGCCAAACTCCATGAAAGCCTCCCGAGGTGGTCTAAAAGAGGATCACTCCTCCCTGCAAGCCTTGTCTTGCAGCACCTCTTCATAAGGCCTCTAATGGCTGGGTGTGTTTTTTGTACCCAGTTCGTCTGCAGCTGGATTTAGCCTTGATGGAGCTGGCAGTGTGGGTTGGGAGGAGGCAGGCACCAGCACACATGAGGAAAGGCTTCAGTGTAAGCTGAAACTGTCCAATTCCATCTTATTCCCTAAAAAGCCCCTGGGTTTTGGGTCAGGCTGAGGTGTTCTCCTGCCGGTGCAGCTCGGAGATTAGCACGCTGAGCTCAAAAGCCCTGCAAACTCAGCACATAGTTTCACAGCTAATCTCTTCCCCTGGCAGCTCACATTGCCAGTCCAGGGGCACAATCAGGAGGTTGTGCACCCTCACTGCTGGATCCCACCCCTCCACCCTGCCACATTCCTTGGGGGCCAGACCCAGACTGCTACTTGCTTCCCCTCTTCCCCAGAGCAGGGCTGGGTTATGGGCCTCTTTCTTCAGGGACAGAAGGCAAGAGGAAGCCTGGTACAAGAATCCAGCCAGGCTGCCACTGGGTACCACAAATAGGACCCAGGCAACAAGTAACCCCTGAAGTGGAGCCCCCCATGGGATGGTTTCTAGCAACAAGGAGAAGCCATACAGCAGGAATCTCATAGAATCACAGAATACCAGGTCAGAAAGGACCTCAAGGGCCATCTGGTCCAACCTTTACACTTAAGTGACACCTACGTGGTACGCGCTGCTGCCGCCTCCGCTGCCTCCATAGCCATACTGACTGGATGCCCACTGTGCAGGGGTGGCATTTGGATTCTGTCCCTGGCCTGTCAC